CACAGACCCACGTCGTAAAACGCACAATGTCATTGCGCAGCGACGCAAATCTCTTTACCCTTCATCTCGCGAGCCGTCACTCGGCCCGCCCTCACGCTGCCTCGCGCGTGCGGGCAGGGGGGGGCACGGGGGGCACAGGGGGGGGGGCACGGTGGAGGGGGCACGAGAGGGCGGGGGGGGCCGTGAGGAAAGCGGTGGCGAAATTGAAACAGACGGCATAATTGATATCGCTTTAATGGGATCGTCACGGCGTGCGTGTAAAATATTAATTTTCTAATTACGGCCAAACGAGGTGGCAAGCTGCGGCCGCCGTGCCCCCCCCCCCCCCTCTTGCTCGCCGCGTCTCCCCCCCCCCCTCCTCTTGTTCGCCGCGTCTCGGGGGAGCGCCGCGGATGATGAAGAAGCCGCGTGGCCCAGCGAGGCGTTTTGCCCGCGGCGGCAGCGGCGGCGGCGGCGGCCGAGGGACACAAATGTGGCCCATTACTCGCGGCAAATCTGATATTATCTCCTCCGCCGGTCTGCGAGCGACGAACGAGCGGCTCCCCCCACCACACCGCGCCCCCCCCCACCACACCGCGCCCCCCACCCACCCACCCGCCCGTGCTCTCACGTCCATCTCCTGCCCCCTTGTCACTCTCCCACTCTCTCCCTCTCTCTCTCTGGCTCTCCCGCTCTTCCACTTTCTCTCGTTCCCTCTCTCTCTCCCACTCTCTTGTTCTTTCACACTCTCTCGTTCTTTCGTTCTCTCTCTCTAGCTCACTCTCGTTTTCTGTCCCTCAGTCTCTCTCTCTGGCTCTCTCTCCCACTCTGTCGCTCTCTTTTTTTTTACAAACAGTGGAAACAAGAAGATGCTCGGTGTAGTCGGCACTTTGCTTCGTTCATCATTTCGTAATTTTTTTTATAACTTTGCTTTATGTAAACCCCCACCTCTCACTCACTCTCTCGCTCGCTCTCTCGCTCTCTCTCTCGCTCGCTCTCTCGCTCGCTCTCTCGCTCGCTCTCTCGCTCGCTCTCTCGCTCGCTCTCTCGCTCGCTCTCTCGCTCGCTCTCTCGCTCGCTCTCTCGCTCGCTCTTTCGCTCGCTCTCTCGCTCGCTCTCTCGCTCGCTCTCTCGCTCACTCTCGTTCTGCACGCAGCCCTTCTCGCAGTCTCTCGTTCCCTTTCTGTCACTCACTCTCGTTTTCTCTCCCTCGCTCTCCCCCTCTCTCTCCATCTCGTAAGAAACTAAAAGGACATTGCAGACGGAAACCGACTCTAGCTTTCGCGGTACGTGCCCCATAACTCTCCCGCCCTCTCCTGCCCTTGTACATTCTCTCTCTCTCTTTCCTTCACTCCCCATCTCTCTGATCCAAGTGAAATGGACGATTAGCCGGGCGGCGGCGCTGCCTACACCGCCTGTAGTCCGGCGCTGTGGAGGCAGCAGCAGCAGCAGCGAGGGATGGCGGATCGCACACAGATGTTGTTGTGAAAGTCCTTTCCTGCAAGTAGGAGCCGTACCCTGGATCACCAGGAGAAGGCGGTACAGCAAAGTGTGAACTAATCTCCATCTGTTCCGTCCGTGAGGAGTATGCATGTATATTGAACTTAGCTCGCACCGTACGTAGCCAACTATGCTAATCAGAAGCGCTGGGGGAAGGGAAATAAACTAAACGCACAACACCGTTCAAAAAGAAACGAGTTTTCAATCGAGATGATTTAAGAGTGCATCGCTCTAATGGCTCCCTAATATCGGAGGGAAGAGCGTTCCAGACGGCCACAGAAGCGCGTCTGAAAGCGCAGCGATAACGGTGACCACCGGCTTTGTTCGAATCGAGCGTTTCACCCTCGCCCGCGTGGGTTTTATCCGGGCACTCCGGTTTCCTCCCACGCGTGTTCACTCGCGTCGATTGACCGACAACACCTTCACACACACACACACACCTTCACACACACACACACCTTCACACACACACCTTCACACACACACATTCACACACACACCTTCACACACACACACCTTCACACACACACACCTTCACATACACACACACCTTCACACACACACACACCTTCACATACACACACACCTTCACACACACACACACCTTCACACACACCTTCACACATACACACACACCTTCACACACACACCTTCACACACACACCTTCACACACACACAAACACACACACCTTCACACACACACCTTCACACACACACATTCACACACACACCTTCACACACACACACCTTCACACACACACACCTTCACATACACACACACCTTCACACACACACACACCTTCACATACACACACACCTTCACACACACACACCTTCACACACACCTTCACACATACACACACACCTTCACACACACACCTTCACACACACACCTTCACACACACACAAACACACACACCTTCACACACACCTTCACACACACCTTCACACACACACACCTTCACACACACCTTCACACACACACCTTCACACACACACACCTTCACACACACCTTCACACACACACACCTTCACACACACACCTTCACACACACACACCTTCACACACACACACCTTCACACACACACCCCTTCACACACACCTTCACACACACACACCTTCACACACACCTTCACACACACACCTTCACACACAAAGCTAAGCTTCGTGTGTGAAGGTGTGTGTGAGTCGTCTTCTCTCTCTCTGAGTCGACCTTTCTCTCTTCGAGTCATCCTCTTTCTCTCTGAGTCGTCCTCTCTCTCTGAGTCGTCCTCTCTCTCTCTGAGTCGTCCTCTCTCTGAGTCGTCCTCTCTCTCTCTCTGAGTCGTCCTCTCTGAGTCGTCCTCTCTCTGAGTCGTCCTCTCTCTCTGAGTCGTCCTCTCTCTCCGAGTCGTCCTCTTTCCTTCGCTGAGAGCGAGTGAGCGAGCCTGTGCCGTCACTCGTATGACGTCACTTTCTTGCTTTCCTATCGGGCGACGTCACACTTTGAGGGCACGCGTCAAATGATCGCACCGTGAAGATTAAATTACCCGATAGTTCGCAAGAGCAAATGAAAGATGCCAAACTCGTTAAAAATACAAATACCAACAATTATTCTTTGGTTCTTTCGGTAAGTCACGTATGAAGATAAAATAATAAATTCGATTAAATACTAGCGTACGACGTTTCGATTGCAACACAAGCAATCATCATCAGGTATAAATGAAATAGAAACACAAATCTAGTATACTTAGAAATGTAATGTAATACGACAGAGAGTCGGATAATTTACATTTGAAGATTTAAACTCCACTATGCCGCCCACCCCATCGTCATGAGCGGGACCACGGTGGTGAGATGTTTGCTACCTCGCCTGGTGTGCAGGAGGTTTGTGAGTTCACTCCCAACCCTGGCGCCTGCATATTTGGAGTTTGCCTGTCTCTTTTTCCAGTGGTCGCGTGGATTTTTCTCCGGGTCCCCTCCGGTTTTTCCCCTCCACGTTTGTCAGCAACGTCACGCGTTTAGAGCATTTGGCTGCTATGAATGCTCACGCGATAAGCCACTTTGTTGAGCTATCATTCGTGGCCAGGTCGCTTCTGAAAAAGAGCCACGTACCTCAGTGGTGGGCCCTACCTGGTGAAATAAAATACAAAAAATGTTGCATACATATAGTTGAGTTAATTGCCTAGAGACGCTTGTAAATTGATGAGTCACAATTAGCAATGAAACTCTCTACGGGCCCATTCCCTCGATTGTGTCCTCGCAGCGACGGCTCACACAGTGACAGCTCACACAGTGACAGCTCACACAGTGACAGCTCGCACAGTGACAGCTCGCACAGTGACAGCTCACACAGTGTCAGCTCACACAGTGACAGCTCACACAGTGACAGCTTACACAGTGACAGCTCACACAGTGACAGCTCACACAGTGACAGCTCACACAGCGACAGCTCACACACTGTGACAGCTCACACAGTGACAGTTCACACAGCGACAGCTCACACAGTGACAGCTCACACAGTGACAGCTCACACAGCGGCAGCTCACACAGTGACAGCTCACACAGTGACAGCTCACACAGTGACAGCTCACACAGTGACAGCCCACACAGTAACAGCTCGCACAGTGACAGCCCGCACAGTGACAGCTCACACTGTGACAGCGACACGATCACGGAAGGAATCAAGCGGCCCCCCCGCGTGCCCGTCACCGCCGATCGTCGCCGCCGATCGATATCCACGTTTTGTTTCCGCTCCCCACACCACGCCGAGCGAAACTAAAACCAACACCGTCTGAGACGCGGTGCCACGTGACCCACCCGGCCGTGAGAGCCGGTGTCCGTCCGTCCCTCCGTCTGTCCGCCTGTGCTGTCCGTTGACTTCGTGGTGTCGTTCGTCGCTCTGTCCGCTTGTCCATTTGTCCGTCCGTCCCTCCGTCTGTCCGCCTGTGCTGTCCGTTGACTTCGTGGTGTCGTTCGTCGCTCTGTCCGCTTGTCCATTTGTCCGTCTGTCCCTCCGTCTGTCCGCCTGTGCTGTCCGTTGACTTCGCGGTGTCGTTCGTCGCTCTGTCCGCTTGTCCATTTGTCCGTCTGTCCCTCCGTCTGTAGGTCCATCCGTCCACTCGACCCGCCATTCCTCCGCCCATCCGTCTGTCCGTCTGTCTGTCCATCCGTCCGTCCGTCCGTCCGTTTGTCCATCCATCCATCCACTCGTCTGTCTGTCCATCTGTTTGTCCATCCGTACAATCGTCCGCCCATGGGGAGCGGTGGTGTAGCTGTTAGCGCTACGCTGCGCTACGAACCCGGCGACCCGAGTTCGATTCCCGCTCACGACCAACGCCGGCGACGATTATCTGAACCGATCCTGGGCCTTTGCTAGGTCGACTCGGCCTCAAATGAGTACGTGGTGTGGTGTGTAAACATCGGCACTGGGGAGACAAAGGCGGCCGGGCGTGGTGCTGGCCACCCACCCCCTCGTGTGCTGTGCCGGCCTTCATAGGTGCTGCTCGCTAACAGCACTTGCCCCTACTGTCTGTCAAGGCTACACGGGGGATCTTTGTTATTGTGCGTCGTCTCACCGGATTCTTTCCATTTCGTTTGCTCAGCACCTGATGGAGGAGCGCGCGGATGGAGCCCTCAACGAAGCCACCAGGTGAGGTGTGGTGTTGGTGGTGGTGTTGGTGGTGGTGGTGTTGTTGTCGCTGTTGTTGTTGAAGTTATTGTAGTTGTGGGTGGTGGCGTTGTTAGTTGGTGGTGGTGTTGTTGGTGTTGGTGGTGGTGTTGATGTTGTTGGTATTATTGTTGTTGGTGGTGGTGTTATTGTTTTTCGTAGTTATTGTTGTTGTGGTTGTTGCTGGTGTTGTTGGTGGTGGTTGGTGTTGTTGCAGTTGTTACCAGAGGTGTCTCATCATATATTTACCCAGAAACCACCACCATCACCCCTGGTTGTTGTTATTGTTGTTGTTATAATTGTTGTTGTTGTTATTGCTGTTGTTGTTGTGTGCGGGCAGACAAGTGGCGCTTGCTGACGTCATCCTGCTGAACAAAACCGACCTGGTTCCTCACGCAGAGCTCAGCCGACTCACGGCCCTCATTAGGTACCAGAATTGTATCAGCAGCAGCAGCAGTGGCAACATCATCATCAGCAGCATCATCAGCAGCATCATCAGCAACGTCATCAGTGGCAACATCATCAGTGGCAACATCATTAGCAGCGTCATCAGCAGCATCATCAGCAACAACATCATCAGTGGTAACATCATCATCAACAACATCATCAGTGGCAACATCATCAGTAGCATCATCAGTGGCAACATCATCAGCAGCAGCAACAACATCATCAGCAACAACATGATCATCAGCATCATCATCAGCAGCAGCAGCAGCATCATCAGCATCATCAGCAGCGGCAGCAGCAGCAGCATCAGCATCATCAGCAACAACATCATCAGTGGCAACATCATCATCATTAGCAGCATCATCAGTGGAAACATCATCAGCAGCAGCAGCATCATCATCAACATCGTTATTGTCAGCATCAGCATCATCGTCATAACCATCAGCTGCATGAGCATCTCTGTTCGCCATCACTACTCACTCAGTGGCGGCTACAATGCTTGTCGCAGCGTCAAACATCATCATCAGCAGCAGCAGCATCATCAGCAACATCGTTATTGTCATCATCCCCATCATCGTCATAACCATCAGCTGCATGAGCATCTCTGTTCGCCATCACTACTCACTCAGTGGCGGCTACAATGCTTGTCTCAGCGTCAAACATCTCCCCCAGTTCATGAAGAGTCTCCGTGCGGCAACGCAGTTCACGCACAAAGACAAAGCTCCCTGGGTAGCCTCGCTGGGCTGTCGGGGCGGTGTTGTGCAACCGCTGTGTAAAGCGTCTTAGCTGTGGGGAGACAAAGGCGGCCGGGCGTGGTGCTGGCCGTGCGGGCCTTCACAGGAGCTACTCGCTAACAGCACTTGCCCCACCAGTCTGTTACAGGCTATACGGGGGAGTGGGGGACCTTTGTCTGTGTGTAGCAGCAGGCGGCCGTAAATAAACGCGGCAAGCGAGCGTGTGCGCGCTCCCCCCGCTCTCTCTCGAACAACAAACAACAACAAACAACAAACCTCTGGGGCAGCGCTGTAACTTCCAAGCGGCCTGCTGTTGATCACACGGTGTTGTTGTTGTTGTTTTCCAGGAACATCAACGCCCTCGCCAAACTCCAAGAGACGCAGCGTTCGAGGTGAGAGCTGCCACGGGGAGGGGGTGGGGGTGGGGGGTTGGGGGGTTGGCGGGGGGTGGAGTGGTGGTGGTGGTTGGGAGCGGTGGCGCAGCAATTAGCGCTGCGCCCCGAACCCCCCCCCCCAACGCCCTCGGCTACGTCGCTCACGGCCACCGCCACCAACTCAGCGGTGACGGACATCTGAAGTGATGATGGTTTAGACTGGGATTACAACTCACGACTTTCAATCGCTCCGCACAGAAACCGCTCACTCCCCCACGGGCTCAAAGGGCCGAGCGTTGTTTGCGATATGAAGGCCGGCACGGCACCTATGAAGGCCGGCACGGGTGGGTGGGTTGGCCGGCACCTATGAAGGCCGGCACGTCGCCTATGATGGCCGGCACGGCACCTATGAAGGCCGGCACGGGTGGGTGGGTGGGTTGGCACCTATGAAGGCCGGCACGGCGCCTGTGAAGGCCGGCACGGCACCTATGAAGGCCGGCACGGGTGGGTGGGTGGGTGGGTTGGCACCGCACCCTGCCGCCTTTGTCTCCCTCGTGGCGATGTGAGCTCTGCTCGTTGGAAGCGCCCACGAACGGTTCAGATGATCGCCGTCGGTGTTGGCGGCCGCGAGCTGGATTCGAACTCGAGCAGCCTGGTTCGTAACCGCTGCGCTGCGCTAACCGCTGCGCCACCACTCCCCCTCCCCGCTACATCTCCTATCCACACTCGACGCTCCCACCCCTTGTTAATATTCACGTTGTTATTTTATTCTTTATTTTTTCTTCTTACCCGGGACCGGCCTAAATTGTTTATGCAAAATGATTTATCTCTCAATTTGTCTCTCGCCGAATATTTGTAGATGTAATTATGCTTAAAAATATCACGCGCTCCCAAAGATTGATAGAATTAAAATTGGAGGGTTTTCTTTTTTTTTATATTTGGCTCACATTAGTTCTCTGCGCACAGAAGTTGTAATCAGTTGTGTTATTCGCAATTCGTTGGTAATTACACTTTGTGTGCGTGCGTACGTACGTATATACAAAGACAAAGATCCCCCGTATAGCCTTAACAGACTGTAGGGGCAAGTGTTGTTAGCGAGCACCTATGAAGGCCGGAACGGCACACGAGGGGGTGGGTGGCCAGCACCACGCCCGACCGCCTTTGTCTCCCCAGTGGCGATGTTTACTGCACACAGCACCAGGTAGTCATTTGAGGCTGAGTCGACCTCGGGGAGGGCTAAAACCGGTTTAGATAATCGTCGCCGGTGTTGGCCGTGAGCGGGAATCGAACCCGGGTGTCCAGGTTCGCAGCGCGCTAACCACTACACTTACATACACACGCGTACGTGTGTGTGTGTGAGGGGAGCGGTGGTGCAGCGGTTAGCGCGCTGCACTACGAACCTGGCGACCCGGGTTCGATTCCCGCTCACGGCAAACGCCAGTGACGATTATCTGAACCGGTCCTGGGCATCCCCTAGGTCGACTCAGCCTCAAATGAGTACCTGGTGCGGTGTGTAAACATCGCCACTAGGGAGACAAAGGCGGTCGGGCGTGGTGCTGGCCACCCACCCCCTCGTGTGCCACAGTGCCGGCCTTCACAGGTGCTGCTGCTACTCGCTAACAGCACTTCGACTCCCGGCTACGGCTAACATAGCCCGGTGTCGTAGCTCCCCTAGGTCGACTGGGCCTTAAACAAGCACATCGAGTCTGTCGCAGGATCCTCGCTGACGGCACTTGCCCAAACTGCCTGCGAGAGGCTACCCGGGGCATCTTTGCCTTTGCCCGCGCGTCTTCCAGCCCCCGTCTCCGTGGCGGCGGCGGCAGCAGCAGCGCCGGACGGAGACGCCGTGCGGGAATAATTCATCATTGGTAAAGGATTTAATCTAAAATCGATCTCATTTGCATACAGTTTGTACCTTCCCACCCCTGTGATAGCTGCCTGTGATTGTGGATCCATTAAGAGCCCCCCCCCCCGATCCCCCCCTCCCCCCCCATCATCATTCCTCACAAAGTGATGAAGGCAGCCCAAGTTTGATTCTCTACAAAGCTATCAACTGAGGAAGGCCACTACCCGAAACGTCGCCTGTGTTATATATTTCCCCGACGAAACTCAAAAGTGACTTACGAAGTGAATTCCTCATTCCTACGGCGATTATGAAAGAGAGAAAGAGAGACACCCAGACCCCAGCGATGTCCACCACTGACATTGTGATGAACCCCTTGAGAGAGAGAGAGAGAGACACCCAGACCCAGCGTTGTCCACCACTGACATTGTGATGAACCCCTTGAGAGAGAGAGAGAGAGACACCCAGACCCAGCGTTGTCCACCACGACCATTGTGATGAACCCCTTAAGAGAGAGAGAGAGACACCCAAACTCAGCATTGTCCACCACGACCATTGTGATGAACCCCTTAAGAGAGAGAGACACCCAGACCCAGCATTGTCCACCACGACCATTGTGATGAACCCCTTCAGAGAGAGAGACACCCAGACTCAGCGTTGTCCACCACTGCCATTGTGATGAACCCCTTAAGAGAGAGAGAGACACCCAGACCCAGCGTTGTCCACCACTGCCATTGTGATGGACCCCTTGAGAGAGAGAGAGACACCCAGACCCAGCGTTGTCCACCACTGACATTGTGATGATCCCCTTGAGAGAGAGAGAGACACCCAGACCCAGCGTTGTCCACCCACAGCCATTGTGATGAACCCCTTAAGAGAGAGAGAGAGACACCCAGACCCAGCGTTGTCCACCACGACCATTGTGATGAACCCCTTAAGAGAGAGAGAGAGAGACACCCAGACCCAGCGTTGTCCACCACGACCATTGTGATGAACCCCTTGAGAGAGAGAGAGACACTCAGACCCAGCGTTGTCCACCACGGACATTGTGATGAACCCCTTAAGAGAGAGAGTCACCCAGATCCAGCATTGTCCACCACCGCCATTGTGATGAACCCCTTAAGAGAGAGAGAGAGACACCCAGACTCAGCGTTGTCCACCACGACCATTGTGATGAACCCCTTAAGAGAGAGAGAGAGACACCCAGACTCAGCGTTGTCCACCACGACCATTGTGATGAACCCCTTGAGAGAGAGAGAGAGACACCCAGACTCAGCGTTGTCCACAGCCATTGTGATGAGGATTTTTGTTGTTGTAAATAAAATAAAATGATTATTATTAATCCGGCGAGCAACATTAATCGACGAGCAACGTCGCACGTCCACGACGTCCGACGTTTCGGCGCCGCGGCCCCGACAGCTTCTTCCTCCTTCGCTGTCGGGAACTTCCCGCGATTCGTGTTGCTGTTGTTGTTGTTGTTGCTGCTGTTGTTGCTGTTGATGTTGTTGCTGTTGCTGCTGTTGTTGCTGCTGTTGTTGTTGCTGCTGTTGTTGTTGCTGTTGTTGTTGCTGATGCTGCTGTTGTTGCTGCTGTTGTTGATGCTGTTGTTGCTGAAAGCCGCGGTGACGGCAGCAACAGCTCCCGGCACGCGGAGCGGAACCGGTGAGCGGAACCAGTGAACCGGTGAGCAGAACCGGTGAGTGGTTAGCGGAACCGGTGAGCAGAACCTCGCCATCCAGAGCTCGCCGGTTCACCACTTTGTCAGACGGAGTTCGTCCCTACGGATAGACTCCGTCCCCCTGCCATGGAAACGTGGAATTCCCACCTTCAGGCTCTCAAAAAAACAGAGCGCGACCGCCTCCAATGCTCGTTTCGGGCGGGAAGGGAAATCACGACTTTTGTTTGGGAGGTCTTCAAAGAACTAAAAACCCACCCACCACGCAAATCTTCACACGTGAATGTAGAACTTGTGACGTTCTCACGCAATGACCGGGGGAGCCCTTCACCACGGCCACATTTGCGACATTATTTCGGAATGGGACTCGTCTCACGTGTTCCAGCCGACGTGCGGAATCCAGTCCGCGCTTTCCGCTTAAACAAACTCGCCCGCTAGGCGGTGGAATCGCGCGCGCGGAGAAAAATGTTTCCTTGAAATTTGGGCCCCTCTGGTCTCGTCTCCGTTCTCTTAATTTACGGGTGGGATGAGAGGGGAGGGAGGTTGGTTGGGGGTAGACACCCTGAGGGGGGTAGGGGGTAGGGGAAGAAGGGGAGGAGGGGGGGTGATTGAATTAGGTCACGCATTGATGAACCATTATCAAGGGTCGTCTGTCAAATTTACTACAGACGTGCACGCTGCCGGACAGAATCGCTCGTTGTGTTTGCCGGGTCCCCCCCCCCCCGCTGCTTCCACCCCCCCTTACCCCCCCCGTACCCCCCCCCCCGTGCCCCCACCACCACGCCCCACCACCACCACCACCACCAAGTAATTAGCTCCTGAAGGCACTCAAAGTAAATAGACAAACGTCGCTCGCTCGCTCATTCATCCCGCCGCCGCATGCCCACACTCGCTCGCTTGTACAACACAAAGACAAAGATCCACCCCCCTCCAACACCCCGGATAGCCTTCACGGACTGTTGGGGCAAGTGCTGCTAGCGAGTGGCACCTATGAAGGCCGGCACGGCACACGAGGGGGTGGGGTGGACAGCACCACGCCCGGCCGCCTTTGTTTCCCACCTTTGCGATGTTTACACAGCGCACCAGGTACTTATTTGAGGCTGAGTCGACCTAGGGGATGCCCAGGACTGGTTCAGATAATCGTCACTGGTGTTGGCCGTGAGCGGGGATCGATCTCGGGTCGCTTGGTTTGATGCGCAGCGTAGCGCTAACCGCTGTACCACCACTCCTTACATACACTCACTTATACACTCAATTATACACTCACTTACACACTCACTTACACACTCACTCACTTACACACTCACTTATACACTCACTCATACACTTGTTCATACACTCACTCATACACTCACTCACTCACTCATACACTCACTCACTTACACACTCACTCACTTATACACTCACTCACTCACTTACACACTCACTCATACACTCACTCACTAATACACTCACTCACTTATACACTCACTCACTCATACACTCACTCACTCATACACT